CAACAGGCCCTTGCTCTCCAGCAGTGGGTTAAAAGAATACAAAGACCCAGCAGCTAACCCCACCGGCCACGTTGTGGTTCTCCAAGGACCAGCCCACTGCTGAGGCCACAGATGCTCAAGAGCACCTTAATCCATTTGTCTAGGCCTTGCTCAAATATAGATGGATGGTGTTTTTCACCTGAATGAACGTTCTGCTAAGATACTCAGATACTATTGTTTCAAAACCTTTGGGCACACACACACCCCATTTTTTTAATAGAGATGTTAAAATTTAATGTTCAACAATCCTTTATCTTTTCAAAGCACTTAATAGGAATTTTGCTAGTTAAAATACTTGTTGAATGTCTACTATATGTTGAAACATAAGAGTTAATAATAAAACAGAGTGACTGTGCAAACCTGCTCATCATTAACAACACAGGATGTTGAATGATAGGGGAAGACAAAGGGACATGGTGAGGCCACAGACAAGAATCCAGGAGCTGCATTCCTGTGGGATCTTCCAGCCTGGAGCAGAGAAGCAACCCCAGGCTTCTATGGATTCGAGCTCTGTGGATGCGCCCACCACCCTCTCCTCACTGTGTTGTTTCCTCTGCTGCTTTCCCTTCACCATCCTGGCCACTTCAGAGCTGCACTCACAGGCTGGGGACTTCAGCTGGCTCATGATCAAGCAGGTGAGCAGCCGCTTTACGTGACCTTGTCGTCTCAGACCTTGGAGTCTTCTCCTGGGGAAGAATCTATCCCCTAGACACCTCCCTTGGCTTATGTATTGCCGGAAAGGGCAGATTTCACGCTTCTCCCTACACTATGGGCAGTCTAGTAAGGAAGCTCAAGTTCTAAGCAGAGAGGGTAGAAAGCAGCCTAACTGGTGCAAGCTGTACAAAGAACAATAGTAATATCAATAATATCAAGTGTGAGGCATGATTAACACATAGAAGAAGAGCTGACAACTTAACCTCTGGCTTCGAGTTTACTGCCGAGTACTTTTTCTGCTAGTCACTACTACACTGTTCTGTCCTGCCTGGGGCAAGATGAACTTCCAGTACCCTTCATAATTTCCTTGTTATAATTGCACATGTAATTGTGCAGAATAACAATATTCAATCGTAGCAATGCCTCTCTATTCTGTCTCGTTCTTAACTAAAAGATGGTCTAAACCTTCTGAAGAGTAAGGTGGAATAGTTCCGCCCTGTGATCTCAGCACTGGGGAAGTGGCCCAGGATCATCAGAAGTCTAAAGCCACTGTGGCTATGCAGTGAGTCTGAAGCCAGTGTGAGCGACATGAGACTGTAGTCTTAAAAACAAAAGTGGGGATGGGAGACCGCTAAGGAATTACATAGTATTTTCTATGAATTTCACAAAGTAAAAATCCTGTGTGTGTGTGTGTGTGTGTGTGTGCGCGCGCGCGCTTTGCATTGCTACAGAGGATTGCAAAGAAAGTCTAAGAGAAAGGAATGTTCAAGTCCAAAAACGGTTAGTTTTGTTTTAGTTTTTGTACTGAGTTTTAGGGGAATATCCAAAGATTAAACACACACAATAAATGCTAAAAAAAAAAATCAAATTTACAGTCCTTATCACCTTCTCAGTGCTTGAATTCCAGACATAAGACACCATGCCAGGCATGCCAGGCATTAAGTGTATTAACACTAAACTCCACAGGACCAATGAATCACGAGATGAGAGGGTGCTTCAGTCACAGGCATATTAAGTCTGTGCCTTCTGAAAATGGTCAAGAGAACATTTTAAAAATGCTTTCTTTGGGGAGCACTTATTGAAGATTCTGCCTTCCTAGTCACAGATGGATTCAGTTAGCTTCCTTCCTCTACGTTCATTCAGTTCCTGTCTGGAAGGTGGGCGGAGTTATTTATATACATGTGAACAGGGAGGAGGGAGGCCTTCACAGCTTGCCATCTAATTGCATACAGAATTCTGGCACCTTTTGCTTGGCCCTTGGCTGCTTCCCCACACCGTGTCTGGTACTAGAGACATAAAATTATGAATAAACCAATAATTGGCCCAGTTTCTACAGTGCAGGACACATGTTTTTCATGAACATTAAAATTCAGGGTTTTTTTTTTTTAAATCTGAAAAAGAGTTAAACCTGGATTCTGACATTAATTTCCACTTGTCTTCCTCTTGGCAGAGTGGGTTGTTTATTTCTGTCACAGGGTAACATTAACTCCTTTTTTTTTTTTTTTTGCATATTCTGTAAAACCTAACTCATCTTTTAAAAAGAAAAAAAGAATCCCTTGCTGTCTTTACTATGCATTTATATGGATTCCAACTTATAATTCTAGTTGTCTTACAGTTTCAGTCATTTTCTGTGTTTCCTATTTTGGGGTTATGCTAAAAAGTCAGCTGTCAAATGCAGCCTTTCCTTATTTTTCTTTCAGATCTTGGATGCCAACTGGCTTGTATACATTGGTGCTCAATAATACATATTTTTATAGTAACCTCCCTAGAACTCTAGGATTGGTTCCCTCTCTTTGAATTTGAAATCCTACACATTAGTCACAGAAATCAGACATGTTGATATCTACTTTCTTCACTCCTTTCTACTCCTCCTCTTGGCACAGGCTCCAGGCTTGCTACCTCACTGCCAGCTCTCAGCATGTCAAACTTAGTACTGTAGCACATCAAGTTACTAAAAGCAATGACCACTTTTTAACATAATTTGCCTTTGCTTGAATATTGACAAATATGTCTCTTAAATATATTCCTTTCTTAAATATATTCCTCTCAGAATAAATATATTCTGACACCATCCTGGGTGGACAACAGCCTGCTAAGTTTCCCATCCATTGACATTTACTTTGGAAGTTTAAGTAGAGAAACATGAAACACTTTGAGGAACTGTGGGAACTTTTTTTTAGGACAACTGCATCGGTGTCAGAGCTACTGGTAGATCAAGCTTAACCCTACGGACAACAAAATCTATAGGCAATAGCAGGGTGATGGGCTAGAAAGAAGAAAGACAAGATATCAAGAGTGGTTGTGTGTTGGAAGAAGTAAACTGGTAAGAGCTCATGAGTGTTGTTGAGCATCTCTTATTTCACTCTCCATGTTGTTTACCTCAGGGCTCTACAGCTTGTCCATTTCATGTCTTAACCGTCCATCTCCTTCTCCAACTGCCTTTTCTTTAAAAATCTTCTTCTAAATAGCATACATAGAACTAAATAAATACACACACATACACACACAGACATACACACATACACACACACACACACACACACACACACACGACGACAGTGTTTGCATCTTACAAGATGCTTGGATTCTTTAGCTGTAATCTCAGGCAAGGTAAAACAAAGTTAAGATTGAAGTGACCCTTTTTAACAGTTGATGTTGCCCGGTAACCCCTCAAATCACTGTACACTGGCATGCTTGTGCTAATTTGATTCTACTGGTGATCCCAAACAGAATCTTAAAAATAAGTAAGATGAGGTGGAGAGTTCAGTTGTTAAACATGCATACTGCTCTTGAAGAGGACCCTGGTTCTGTTCCCTACAACTATGTAAGGCAGCTCAATCACTTGTAGCTCCAGCTCCTGGTGAATCTAATGACTTTGGCTTCCTTGGGTAGTTGTATTTGTGTGCATATATCTACACATAGACACACAATTAAAATCTATATAGATGTTATTTGACCGATATGGTCAATGTCATTACCTGCAACCTCCTTGAAATTATGACTCATGCTTCTTCATTGTAAGTGGTCCAGTACAGGAATACCTCGCTAAATATCTATTTGCAGAATCAAATCAAATTATAATCTTAAAGAAGTACCTTTTCTCATTAGAAACTAGAGAAAAGACACACTAAAACTGTTCGTTCAGGCATATCCCAGCACTCCATGGCTGAACTTGTGAGTTTGAAGTCACACTGGGCTAGAGGGTGAGATAATTGCCTTTTTAAAAACTGAAAAAAATTGTTTGACTTACCGTGGTTTATAGTAACACTAATAAGGCACAGTTAGAACTTCCTTCACTTTTCTTAAAGGAAATTTGTGTGGGCTGAATGTATGTGCTGTATGCTCACACGTGGTCCTTGGGTGTGTGCCTGTGTACGAGGCTGGAAGACAGGGAAGGATGCATAGTTTCCTGCTCTATTGCTCCAATCTTACCCTTGAAGCAAAATCTCTCACTGAACTTGCTCAAGGAGGTTTTCAGTTAACAAGCCCCAAAATTCTGGGCCCCCTACAGTGCTAAGGAAACAGATCCACACCTGGGTTTTTACCTGGCTCCTTGAATCCAAGTCTTCATGTCTGTTCAAGATATGCTTTTATATCTACTGTGCCATCTCCCAAGCCAGTAGTAATTATTTTAATGTGAAATCCTTCCATTTTATTCAACATCTGTTACTTCTAAGGTAATTTTGTATAGTCTTGATAAAAAAATTCCGTAATATGAAATAAAAGCTGAAAACCAACAATGACTTTAAAATCACTTTAAAATATATATTCCTAAACTTTAAATCTTGTTAACCCCCATTCTCCACAACGCTCTTCCAGATTACCAATTTTAATCTTTTTCATAATAACTGGTTTTCAAATAGCTTCAAATTTTCTTAAAAACATGAGGGTATCTAATTTGCCTTTTATTAGTATTCAGCGATGGCCCTTTTACACCCTCCCTCCTCACACCTTTCTCTCCCTTCTGCTTCTCCATCTGTTTTTGACAAATTCCTGTGTGTGTGTGTGTGCATGTTCCTCACATATGTCCAACACAAACTTACATTCTGATCAGAGAGAAAAGTGAGTGTATCATTAAGTCTAGAGAACTATAAATAGTTCCAAGTAACTAGAGTCATACAGTGATATACACTTGTAGGTGTCAAATACTGCTGACAAATGTATTTCCTAAAATATACTTTCTTAGGGGATATAGCACTGTATGAAAAACTACCTGCTGTTTCTTAAAATATGCCTTCTCAACTGACATTTTCCTTGCCTTTTCTCAGCCTACTAAACATTACTATGTACCAAAACATACAACAGAGTAGTCTGTAGTGATTCTTTCATTCTCATTCAAAAGAATTTATTTTTTGCTTAAAGAACACAGACTGTAAATACAGCTTTAAAACATCTCCCAGCAGCCCAGGGTTGGTAAGGAAGTCTTCATAGGCGTTACAGGCATCTGGCTTTTCCTAATCTGTTCTAATGGGGTTAGGACAGAGAGACTTACAATAATAAGGATAACAACCTATGCTGCAACTGCTAATGAACAAAAATCAGTTACATGCAAGGAAAGAACAAAAAAATCCCTGATCAGGAAAGTAGACTTTATACCTTAGCAGAATCTAGTATTGATTCTTTGTCTTGCTGTAGATCTAAGTAAACCAATGGATCCTGGAAGCTGCTATGTAACCCAGGCTGGTCTTGAATTTATGAATTATTCTGCCTAAACTTCTCAAGTGCTGAGATTACAGATATGGGCTGCCACACCTAGAAAATTGGCTTTTATCTATGTTGTAGCAAATACTTGAACAGTTTAAACGTATGCAAACTAGTAGTAGGTCCTTATAAGCTAAACTGTCTCCCTTTCTTAAGTACAGCAACCTAATATGATAAAATCATAATAGAGAAGCAATTCAGAGTTCTCAAATTAACCAAGAGAAGCCAAGCCCCATGATCAACTGGGACCTGTTACCACATTTTTTTATACTGCCTTTTCTACATGACTTTGTTCTTGAAACACTACAATCAGTGAAATGTTCAAAGAAACAAAAACAATTAATTCAAGATAAGGTAACTAGAGGGAAACAGTTTCACCAAGTCTTCAGTCTAGATGGTGGATTCAACGTTTTACTTCTTCAAAAAGTACTTCAGTTGTTCCTGTAGGGAAAGGATCTGTTCATACTTCTGCTTCTCCTGTAACTTCAGCTGTTCCAGCACAGACTGGAAATGACTCTTGAGGGTCGGGTTTTCCAATTTTCTGAGGAGATCTTTCTGTCTTTGTGCTTTGCCCTGAATCTCTTGGAGTTTTTTCTCCTTGGAATGGATCAGCTTCTGAATTCCCAGAATTATTGAACTGCTACTTTCATTAGCTTCGCACAAGCTAAACTCAATAAACTTGGCTTGTAGCTCTCTTTCCAGGACTTCTTCAGAATCATCTTCCTCTTCCTCTTCCTCTTCCTCCTCATCCTCCTCTTCTTCTTCCTCCTCCTCTTCAGCCTCTCCTTCCTCTTCATCCTCATCCTCTTCTTCCTCCTCTTTTTCTTCCTCCTCCTCCTCATCTTTATTCTCTTGATCATCTTTGCCACTGCTAGAATCACTGAACGAGCTCTGAGCCATAGCACATGCTGATGAGGGGTGACCACCTACTTCAGAGGGCAATGGAAGATGTGGAGTGCAGGTTTGACTTTGTACTGCCTTGGTTTCATCCTCAACAACGATTTCCCATCGGCTGCTGATGGCTTCGGCGTCTGAGCGCAGCAACCTCTTCACTTCCTTTTCCACATCTTTGGAATCAACGTAGCCACCACGGCTTTCCTCGTTTTGCTTCGTATCAGGGTGCTTTTTGGTTGGTTTCCGAAACCGTTTCTTCCTGACATTCTTAAGTGGTGGAGTAATGCCGTGCTTCCAGATGTAGTTTTCCTCTGCTTCCCTTTCTTTTCCCGCTACAGTAGCACCAGCAGACGTAGCTGGCTCTTCTGGGGAAGAGTGGCGATCACCATCGGCGCTGCACAGAAGCATCTGGGAAACATCTGCTGTCTTATAGAAGGTTTTCCTATCGTACGTTTTCAGGCTTCCGATAACGCAAGGCAAATCAACAAGCTTGGCAGACAGCGAGACGTCATCCACCTGAACGATGGCGTGCCGTGAATCGGGAGACAAGTCAATTTTCAGTTTATCCCTCATGGCGGCATTTCCAGAACGGATGATCTTCCTGACGGTCGAAGCATGTTCCGGGGGCAGACGCAGTATGAACTGGTTCTCCAGTTCGTGAGGGAGTTCATCTGGGCTTTTGCTCATCTTGGCTCTCTGGCCTATCCGCGCCAGGACTGACGTGAGGCTGTGCGGCCTGGGCTTGACCTTCCTTTCCTCTGTCCTGGGAGGGACAGGGACGGGGGCTTTGGCCGAGGCCTGAGGGATCTGAGGGCTGACGCGAGGGCGAGGCCTCGGGGAGTCTGTCCCGAATGCGTAGGATTAAAGTCTGAACAGGTAGGATCGGTCAGCACGCTGGCCCCTGGCACCTCACACGCGTGCCCCGGCCACTAGGCAGGCAGCCAGCCTCTAATGGCTTCCTTACACCGCGGCAGGCTTCGGTGGCCTCCCGGTGCCTCCACTTTGGGCCTCACAGCCTCCTCGTACCTCTGCTTGCCTCTACTCCTCCACAGTCCTCCACAGTCCTCCACAGTCCTCCGCGGGCCTCGCGGCCTCCCTGAGCCTCCCGACGCCACCTCAGGCCTCGCAGCCTCCCTGGACCTCAGGACACCACCTCAGGGCTCGCAGCCTCCACATACCTCTCTGTGCCTCTGTCCACTCCTCCACGGTTCTCCACGCGCCTCCCTGAAGCCTCAGTCGTCCTCCCAAGTCCTCCTCGGTCCTCCCGGGCCTCCGCAGGCCTCTGGCAGCTGCTTAACGGACAGCAGCGAGCCTCGAGTCCGCAAGCGCGCTCCGCCACATGGACCGGAACTGACGCCGGGCAGGCACTTCCGGTCACAGGCCTCCGAGAGGAAGACCGAAGCATCTAAAGCCGACTGGTTCCACCTCGGGGTGCGGGGGACCTTCCGGCTGCCGGGTTGCTTCGGTGTTCTTTTGTGTGTGTTTCTTCTTTTATTGTTTTTTTTTTTGTTTTTTTTTTGTTTTTTTTGTCACTTAATGCCGCAAACCCTGTGACGTACTTGGGTGTTCCTTGAGCTTGTCGGTTGGCCGGAACTGCCCGCCGACTCCTGGAATCTTCACCAAGCCCCATTCCTCAGCCATTTATTTATTTATTTATTTATTTATTTATTTATTTATTTATTTATAGTCTTTTCAAGGAGGGCAGGGGGCTATTAGGTTCAGAGCTAGCTAGCAATGTCCCAATCTAAACAGCAGCGGATTATTCCAGAGGCCACAAATATGGAGAAGGGGGTAGGGACCTTTCTTAAAACAACCACTTCAGCATGGTGTAAGTTGTAAATGCCAACCTGAAAGAATTTTTACTTAACATTGGGGTCTGTTAGCTGTTAACTATAGGAATGGCACAATGCCTCTTTACCCCTAAACAGTGCTGGATCACAGAAACAAAACAAACAAACAAACAAAAAATACAGAGTTCTCTTTTCATCGTCAAAGAACAACTACTAACTTCTGGAAAATAAAAATATTTTACCTCTGGTAAATTACTATTACCCAACCTATAATTCCTAGTTGTTTCTAGACAGGCCTTTATAGAGAAAAAGAAACAGGAGGGGGGAGATGTAGTGAGAGCATGAATCTATAAGCCAGCGGGGCTTCTTCTTGTTTTTTTCTCTTGGAAAATGAGGACGATCTACAAATACGTGACTTTTTATTTTACTTTTCATATATCTTGACTTTTAAATTTTTTTAACTTTTTAAGGACAGGTACATATTACAAATGCTGGCAAGCTTCACAAACACATTAAATACATGCTGCTGCTGAATGGACTTTTGAATTGCCTTACTTTCTCCTTCCATTATCCTGAAGTAAAAAGCAGTGTGGCAGCCATTTATTTTGTTCACTCTCCCACATGGCAGTGGATAATGTTTGTGAATTATTTTGAAGACCTACTATAACACTGTTCTTGGTGAGAGACTCTATGAATAAACTGTGGTCGTTGATCACTATGTATCTGTGAATACTATAAAGCGCAAAAATCAAGAAGCTGTATAAAATATATAATATTATATATATTTTATACAATAAAATATCTATAATCCGTAATTTCAAAGAAACTCAATTTTGTTACTTAGTTTGTATAACTCAAATATCACAACTGAGAAAATGAAAATAAATTATTTCGAAGGGAAATGGAAAGAATAGAGGATCTCACAGCCCAGGCTAGCCTAAAAAGAAACACGTAGTAGCTAAGAATAATCTCTAAGTGTGCACTACCATATGTAATTTCATATTTCCTAAGCATTATTAATAGAAATTACTCTGATAATTTCAAAGGTTTGGTTATATAGTCAGATTTTTTAAAGCATTTTATTATCTAATGTGATGATATATATAAAATACACACAGACACACACACTATTTCAACAGAAAGCTGAGGCAAACGTAATCAAAGGAAGGACTAAGGTCCAGTCCCATCAAGCACCTGAACCTGGTAACTTTGGTCACTTGGTTATATATGTTCAGACTCAAGGATATGAAAAAGGGGTGGTGGAATCTCCCTCCGTGACTAAGGAAAGCAACTGAGGTCAGGCATGTTTCAGGGGGTTCCAGAGAGGTTATTGTATAAAGCAGTGAAGGTGAGAACTGGATTATGTTGGAGACCTCAAGATTTTAGAGATTCCAGAACTGTGGGATGCCTGCCAAGAAATGCTGCAGACAGGGCGTGGAAACAGTCCAAGAAAGAGAAGTCTAAAGAGTACGTTGACATCAAACATGGTGATGTAGAACATGGTGACTGGAACTTGCCCTACCGGTTTTCAATCTGGTCCAGTATTTCCTTATATGGCCCCCTTCTTGCCAGTTTGGAATGGTAATATATATTCTAAACCATTGTATGTTGGAAGTATGTGATCTGTGTTTTGACTTTGCTCCAGAACCTACTTCCTTGACACCATGCTCCCTGCCAGAATTATAGTGAACTAAATCCTCTAAAACTGTTAGCCTGCTCCCAGATAAATGCTTTCTTTCATATAAGAGCTGTCTTGGCCATGGTGTCTCTTCACAGCAACAGAACAGTGACTAAGATACATAATTTTATGTAACAAATAACATATTAATATTTTATGCAGATGTAAAGTTTACTCAAAAAGAAAATTCTAAAACACCCAATGAGAATAGACACACATAACATTTCTACTGATCTTTCTTTACTTTGGTGAAACATGTTGTATGTTTACTGTACTATTCTGACCTCAATCCAATACTTCCCTATGAGACTGAACTCTATGATGCTTTATTATCTATTTCAGCTATTGTTTTTCTGGTGCTAACTACTATAGTAATAGACCTGTTTAAATTTGATTTTTTCCAGGAATGCTCATTTTCTTATTTGCATATACATCTCGGCAGAGGTCATTTTCTTGGGTTACACTTACTCACTTCGTATTTGTTTATAAATATTTGTCTGACACTGCATGATAGTTTTATCATTTGTAATGAAATTGTAGATAAGAAGCTTCAGGAAACACTTGTGCTAGAGATAAAGTGTGTTGAGTTAAAAAAGTGACTAAGTGGAAAACTATTTTTACCACAGGCAATACCACCCACCCAGTCCGCCTTAAGAGGAGGATTTCACACGCTAAAAAAAATAGAGATAATTCAGGAAAGAGCATCCTTCTAAATTAGTTGTAATTTCACATTCAATGCAATGTGATAAAGAAACAGGGAAGAGCCAGCTAAAATCAATGTATGCATCTGTCAAGCAGTTATAAAACTGCCTCAGCGATAACACATAGAAAATAGCCACATTATTCACTGCATGAAGGCAGAGCTTATATACTTTTGCTGATATTTCAAACAAATGTTGATGGTTTAATGAGTAGGTGATGTATTTTTTTTCTTTTTGAGAGAGAGAGAGAGAGAGAGACAGAGAGAGACAGAGAGAAAGAGAGACAGAGAGATGCTTGAGTGCTTAAAGGTATGCATGCAGATGCCAGAGAAAGAAATGGGTGTCTTCTTTTATCACTTTCTGCCTTATTTTTCCTATTTACATTTATTTATTTAATGTGTGTGTGTGTGTGTGTGTGTGTGTGTGTGTGTGTGTGTGTGTGTGTAAGGATGCTCACATGCCTGTGTGTGCCTGAGTATACCATGAATCCATACTGAAGTCAGAGAATAGCTTATGGAAGTTAGTTTTCTCTTTCCACTATGTGGGTCTCAGGGATCATAGATTCAGACCAACAGTCTTGGTGGTAAGTACCCACTACTAACTGAGCCTTGTCACCTACCTGCCACCATTTTTTTAAACAATACTATTTTTTATTTTTGTGATTATACTTGCACTATTTCCATTTCCCTGTTCCTTTTCTCCCTCAAAACTCTACCATGTGCCACTCTGCTTGTTCTCTTTCAAACTCATGCTCCCTCTTTTTAAATTTTTGTTGTTGTTGTCATCGTTGTTGTTGTGTGCTCCTTAACATACAAATCCAACCTGTTTTGTCCATATAATGTTGCTTGTACATATGTGCTTTCAGAGCTGACCATTTGGTTTGGATGACCAGTTGGTGTGCTCCTCCCTGGGGAAGACTATTTGTCCCGTGCTCGGCATGCCTTAGTTGCCTGTAGTTATTTGTTAAGGGTTGAAACCTCGTGAGCTTTTCTCCTCTCATGTTAGCATGTCTATTGACATCACCCTTGTTCAGGTCATGCTAAGGCAGCCATGTTGGTGAGACTTCATGAGCGTAGTTTCTGACTTTTCTAGGAGACACAATCTCACGCAATAACCCTAAGGGTATGGAAGTGGCACATGTAACTTGGTGGTAATCAACAGCTCTGTGGTTGGACTTGGCCTGCTCAACAAGAGGGAAAGCATGCCTGATACCAGAAACTTAGTCAACTACCCAGGACTAGTAGAGTCATAGATCTTGGAAGAGAACATACTGTTGTCACTTTACTAAACAGACATAATCCTTGTACCGACAAGTAAGTGTACTTCTCATCCCTCATCAAGGAGACTTGTCTTTGCAACAAAAAGCAACCATTACAGAAAAACTACAACCAATCAAAATGCAGAATTGTGAAGTCCAGTCCCAATGGATACATCTATAACAAAATTCCTGCACCTACAATGCAGGAATCATTGCAGAAGAGGACGAAGGAAGAGTACAAGAGCCTGAATTTTCCCTGAGATTGTGTTGCCTTATTTTTTGGGACAGACTCTTTCATGACCTGGAAGCTTTAGGTTTTTGGGTGAGGCTTGGTAACCAGTGAGTTCCTAAGATCTACCTGTCTTTGCCCCCGACTCCCAAAGCTAGGGTTTACATGAATGTGCAACAAGGCCACACCCACTCCAACAAGGCCACACCTTCTAATAGTGCCACTCCCTAGGTCAAGCATATTCAAACCACCACATATTACTTTTTATTCTTTTACATATTTTGAATTGTCTCAAATTTCATTAGTTCTCCACATAACTAAGTTATTTAAAACCAATTTCGCTCCTTACAGGCTC